GGGGGAGGTGGGCGCCGCTCTCCAAAATGGATGTTGGATGGGTCTGAGCAGGGCCGAGAACTCCCTCGCTCGCCGCGCCGCCCGGCAGGCACAGCCTATCGGCCGGGCGCAGTATCACCCACCAGGCCGGGCCCCAGTGTCTGGAGTTTTGAATCTGGAGCTGTTTGGCTGAAGTTCCCAGATGTTGGTTAATGTAGGCCGTGGTTCGTTTAAAGAGGTTTTTTTCTCTTATAGGAAGGTGGGAACGCTTTTACTTACATCGTCTTCTTTTTCTAACCTGATCATTCACAGTTGGCTTTTGCAACTACTACAACTCTGCATTGGGTTTTCCTGAGTAGGCCCAAGTGAAACAGTTCGAGGCTGTAGAAGTTTTGGAGTTAGATAGTATTACTTCAGCCTTTGAAATTTGCTAGAACATCAGTCTTAGAAACAGAAAGTAGATGAAAGTCATTTAGTTTACATGCATGTTAGTGCAATCCATACTTAGAGTAGAAGTTGGTTGGCAAAATTTCATTTTTATTATAACTAGTGTGATAGTTGGGATTCTTTTTGAAATTTTAGGATGGAGAGAAGTTGGAAGTCTTACATAAAGACTCAGTGTAAAGTTATGTGCTATAGACAGTGGGTTTTACATTTGTATGGATCATTGCTGCTCTTTTAGCTCACTGTGAAAATGTGTGTTCACCTATTAAAATAGTTAAAACACTCACTGCTCAAGACTTAAGGTTTTAGAGGTGGTTCGTAGAAGTTTGACTGTCACTTAGAAAAGTTAGCTTTTGTACACTAGGCATTCAGTGTTATGTTATTGGTAAATAATTTCAGTCTTAAATGACACTGTGGACAATGGGAGTGTTTTTAATGTGTGTGTGTTTTTTCTTAAGCAGATTAAAATATAAAAAGCTGTTTGAGAAAAATTATTTGTAAACAAACAGGCACATGAGTGACCTTTTAAAATAAGTTATATTTCCCCGGTCCCAAAGTGCCAAAATAAAATAAGTTTATTGGTTACTTTAGTAAACTACCTCAGAAGTAAAGTTTTAATATTTTAAATACAGTAAAATATTTCTAGGAAATCTCTGCAGAGTTTAGGAATGTGTTTGCAGATTGTGAGGGGAGGGGTTAGTGCACTGACCTCAGCAGCGTGTGTGTAATGTTGCCATGCTTCTGGAGGGTTCTCTGAGCTATCAAATCATTCCTAAGAACACAGTTTTGCCAGATAAACAATCTGAACTCATTAGGAAAATACAATTTGGCTAGAGAAGCCTTCAGACTTGTAGTTTTTGGAGCATGTTTGATGCTTGATAAATCTGAGTTCTTTCAAATTTTTCACTTTGAGCAAAGTTGAAATAAACTGAGCTGAAAGTTGAATAAGATGAAAAACATAAGCTGTCTGTATTTTTGTCTTAACATTAATGGGAAACAATTTAATTTCCAGTTTAAAAGTGATGCAAAATATTTTTCAGAACATTCCAGAAAATAAATGAATTCGCATGAATTCACTGGGATATTTTCAACATTAAAACTATACTTAAATATATCTTAAGTACTCTCAAATTGCTGGAGATCATTAGAGGACTGAAGTGTCTTGGAAGTTGTATTTTTAAAAAGTTGTGGAATGTTGGATTTATAGCAAAGCGAGAAATGCAGAATCAGTTCCATACTCTTCGCCCAGCCTTTCCCTCATTATGACACATTTTTCAAATTTGTGAAATGAATATTGGTATTTACTAACTGAAGTAGCAACAGATTTTAGGGTTTGCCAGTTTTCCTATTATTTAGACATTAGTAGACCTTTCTGATACAGGTTGTAGTTCAAGATACCTAACAAAGAGCTGTGTCTAAAGTCAGGTGCAGATGTTCAACCTAATGCCAGTTTAGCTTGGTATTTCAAGATGAAAAGTACCTTGAGAAGCCAGTGTTCACTAAAGATTTGCTTTAACTGCCATTGATCCCGGCCAAGGGTGTTTGTGCAGAGCTAGAGGTTAAGACAGTCCCAGCAGTTCCATCTACCTGTAACATGGACATTCGAAGGTGATGAAAGTTCCTTCGTATTTTACTATTAATAATTAGGAAATACAAGGTCTCTGCACATATGTTAACTTGTCAAAGTTACATGGATGAACTTGTGGATTATCTTCTTTGTATTTTAGTGAAATAAACTATACAAGCAAATTTTATAAGACTCATCTGTTTAAGTTATAAATTTAGTGTTCATTGGTTTTGCAGGTCAATATTGGCACATTTAAAAGGTGAATACTAATTCATTTCAAGAGTAGGATATTTTGCCATTAGGACCCGCAGGCTAGGATGTAGCTTTGTGACAGTGCTCTTCTAGTATTTGCAAAGCCTTGGTTTCCATTCTACCTCCCCACACTGAGGGTGGGGAAGACCTTACAGTGTCATTTAAGTCTGAGTTCTAATTGAAATTTTACTTGAGTATCTGCCCAAGAGTGTTATGTTTGACACCCCCTTAGTTTCACACTTGTTTTGGTTTTCAGTTACATCCTTCTGTCTGGCTTTTTATAAAGTCATTTATGGGGGTCTGAGAAGTTAATTGTTCTTTTAAAATACAGTGAGAGTTTTCCTCTGGTACAGTCTAAGAAGACATCCTGTTTTTTTCTTTTCCTTCAATCTCCACCCTGTCATTTTTATGCCCAGTTGCGTTGGAGAATGCCCTTGTCATAAATTGCTATAGCAACATCATTGGGTGTGCTACCCAAGGCGTCAGTAGGTTATGGTCCTTTTTACCTTGTTATGTGTGTACGCCATGGGAGAATGAACAGTGCCTCCTCCCCCATTTACCACACCAACTGTGATGTTAGATGTTTTATTTGTTTGTTTCCTAATGAGAATATTAGTTTTTTTTGGAAACTTACATAGAAGGTGATCTGACGTGTAAGCCAACCCAAGGTCTTGCCTGGCTTGTATTATTGCTTCCCTTTGTTTTTGTAGTATTTCCTGTTACTGTCTTTTGATATTAGGTGACTTTCTAATTTATCTTTTCTCCATTTGGTATTTAGTATACTTGATCTTTTCCTTTGGTATGTCATAAAAGAAGGAAAGATCTTCAAATTTCAGGCTTTGTGATATTTGAGCTGTTTGGAACTTGCTCATTGGGGAATTACATAAATAAGTTTAAAACTGGTTTATAGTTCTTTAGGTGCTAATATCTCAGTTTTACTGATAGCTCTTTTATTCTATATGGACTTTCTATAACTTTCTTTTGGGTTATTTGAAACTTGTTCAGAAAGTGTGTACTTTGTTTCAGGTGTTTAGTGGGTGTTTTTGGAAATCTGATTCCAGAGTTCTAGTAAATAATGATAACTTGGAAATACGTAATCTTTGCACATATGCGCACATGTGCGCATCTATGTCATAGTTTGCTTTTCTTTTTTTCTTTTGCTTTTAAGACAGGGACTTTATATATATAGCCTACGTTGGCCTCAGATTTGAGGCTCTTCTGCCAAGTGTTTGGAATTACAGGTATGAAGCCACTGTACCTGGACATACATATATATATATATATATATATATATATATATATATATATATCTTTTCACTTTAGGTTTATTTACAAATGCTTTAATATGTTATTTTACCTCAGATAGGAAGATTTACGCCTTCATTTAATTGCCTCTATTGTGGGAAGTTGGTACTGTAGTTTAGTTAGCTCTGAAGGGCATGACAGTATGTTTGTAGACTTGCTACTTGAGCACCGGTTTATTTTCAAGGAGTTTGTTGACGAGAAAGCTGTTCACTCGTGGTTAAACACCTTTGTCATTATGCTTGTAAAAAATCACCTATCTGTAGCTTTAGGTATCATTCATTAGTCATTTTATTTCTAAAAGGAAATGGACAAAAAAATAACAGTTTTGTAAAATTCACTTATAGTACTGTATTCCTCTCTAAAATCCTAGAATATTTATGAATTTAGTGCAAGCTAAAAATTTGACAGTTGATTTTCAGTTGAACAATAATAAGGTGATGAATGGGTTTTGTTTATTTATATGCAGATTTTAATACAAAATAGACTGAGAAAATTTTAGTTTACCTAAAATGCCAAAAGACTAAATAAAACAAATTGTTTTATAATGTTAGAGAAGATTACTTCTGGTTCTAATTTTAGTTCTAAATCAGAATTGACCAAAAGTGACTTTACTGCCTGGCCCTTGATATAAACAGTGAAGATTAAGTTTTAAGTTTATTTCAGTTCAGGCCTGGAGGTTTGTAGTGGATTCAGTTTCTTTATTTTCTTCCGCATTTATGTCATTCTCCTTCACTGGTTTATCTTTAAAAAATACAGATGTGATTGTACCAATCACTTGCTTATAAACCTTTATTACCTACAGAATAAAGTCCAAACAATTTAGCATGGCCTACAAAGCCATTTACAAGTCTTGATGGAAGTGTCCTGTTGTGTTCCCTGTTGCTTTTGTCTATGAATAAATATAAACGTTTTCTGGATCCTCTTGAACTCTAGGTTTCTTTTTGTCTTGTGGATTTTATTGTCTCTTTACCTTTATTATTATCTCTAACTGACCAAAGGGAAAATTTACGCCCTAATATGACCTCAAAGTATCTTTAGTGTGGGTGATCTCCATCCTCATCTTCTGTGTTCCTGTGTGTTTTGATTATGTGGCTAATATATACCACTTTTCACATTGTATTAGCAAGTGTGTCTACATTTGCTTGGCTAGCTAGCATTGTGACCATTTGTGAACAAAGATTTAATTGTTTTGCTTGTATATGCTTATTTCATCATTACAGATATGCTCAAATGTTTGCATTATGTCAAAGGTGAACTGTGGTTCAGTCTTTGAAATAGAGACTTTTCAACTGCATGAAAATTGAGTAGTACATTTCTTAGTGTCTCACTACATTCTCACGGGGAATCTGTTACCATAAAATGTTAACACGGTCACTTCTAAAAAAACTCCACAAAAGTTAGTGTAAGTTGTAAACTAGACAGACTTCCTCTCAAAAAGAAGTGGACATGCTGTTTTGGATCATGCAGAGAGTCCTTGATGCTCAGTCGTATATCTACTTTGACATTGCTGGGCAAGCTGTGTTTGTATATCTCCATTGTCGAGTGGCATGTATAGAGTTATTGAAAAATCACGAATAAATCTGTCATAAAGTGAGGCCATGGTGGCTTTATTTTGATGTGGCTAAGTCACATGGGGTCTTCTTCTCAGTGTCTTTATGCCTGGTCTTCGTATACTTCACTCCTGGTCATTAGAGACAGTAGAACAGTAGCTGGTGGGGCCTTGGCTTCTGGAGGGAGGCTTACCCTTAGTAGTACTACTGACTGCTGTGTGACTTGTCTCTGTGTCTCATCTATCAAGTATAGATGCTAGCAATAGCATCTACCACAGGCTTGCTTTAGAGTGTAACAGTGGTACTTGGCATAAAAGAAAAGCCCATATGTCAGATACCCTTGTTTTTATTTCTTAAAAAAAAAAAAAAAAGCTACTCGTTGACCTTGTCATGTAGGATTTTTTTTTTTTTTCATTCTATTTGCCCACGTTGGCATTTTTCTAATGTTGAATCTATAAACTATGGGTATGACAGCTCAGATTCTTGTGGGTTACAGAATGTAAAACATCATGTATGCTTCATATTCTACTGCCATTTTAGAGTAATGGATAGGTACTGCCACATTCTGTATTTTTCAGCATTTAGCTAGTAGTAAAACTTAACAGATTTGGCTGTTTTGCTTTGTAGTCACAGGACAATCACAGTTACCTTTCCTCATTAAGTTTTGCTTTTCTGTGAGACAAGGCCTTACTTGATACAGGCTCAGGCTGTCCTTGGATTCCAGTTGACCCTGTCTCCACTGCCCCTGTGTTAGGATTGCAGGTAGGAGCCTTAACATTGCCCAACTGCTAAATGGTTTTTGTTGCTGTTGTTTAAGGTTTCACCCCCACCCCAGTAGTTCCTAAAGAAAAAAATATGTAGTTTAAGTCATAAAATTAGAGCTTTTTAAGATTTGTGACATAGTAGTTAATAATCAGATTCACTCCCCAATTCAGTGGCTTGGTAACAAACACCATGGTGTTTGTGTGTGTCTACCTGTCTTCCCACAGTAGCACTTGATGTCATTTTTTTGTTTGATTTTTTTTTTTTTTTTAAGTCTTGCTGTAAAGCCCAGGCTTGCTTCAGTAGCTCAAGCTGGTCTCAAAGTTGAGGCAATCCTCTTGTTTAGCCTCCTGAATGTTAGCATTACAGGTATGTTCCAGTCTGTCTGGGATCATTTTAATAATTAATTAACTAATTAATTGAGACAGGGTTTCTCTGTATAACAGGCTGGCCTCAAACTCAGAGATCCGCTTGCCTCTGCCTCCCAAGTGCCAGGAATAAAGGTGTCTTATTTAAGTATTTTTAGTGGGTTGAATACTCTTTGAACTCTGTCCTGTATGTAACCTTGCTTACGCCCCCTCTGTTTTGTGCAGTTTAAAGATTATAGATGAGTGATTAAAAGATGAGTTTGTGTTGCCAGGTACTGTAGGGTGTACCTGTGTAGTTCCAGTTACTCAGCTGTTTTCACAGAGAATGAAGAATCAGATGGATATGAGATTTCCAAGATAAGTCTGGGCAATATAGTGAGACCTTGCCCGCTTCTTCCCCCCCACCCCCCAAAAAAAACCAGTGTGGTTTGATATAATTTAGAACATTCGGATTAGGTACTATGTTTGTAGTAACAGTTTGTATGTTTGTATGAACAGTACTGCTGTGTTGGAACTCTTGTTTTAAGATGACTTCATTTTTCACATAATAGGATTTGTACTAGGTGAGGGTTTTTTGCAAATTGGGTTAAAATGCTGTAAATACATGACAACATTTTTGTTTTCTTCATCCAGACAGGTGATTTGGCTTCTGCACAGTTAGGAGGAGCACCAAACCGATGGGAGGTTTTGTCAGCTACACCTACAACTATAAAAGATGAAGCTGGTAATCTAGTACAGATTCCAGGTGCTGCTACTTCAAGTGGGCAGTATGTCCTTCCCCTTCAGAATTTGCAGAATCAACAAATATTTTCAGTTGCACCAGGATCAGATGCATCAAATGGTACAGTGTCCAATGTTCAGTATCAAGTAATACCACAGATTCAGTCAACAGATGCTCAGCAGGTTCAGATTGGCTTCACAGGCTCCTCAGACAATGGGGGTATAAATCAAGACAGCAGCCAAATTCAGATCATTCCTGGCTCTAATCAAACCTTACTTGCCTCTGGAACGCCTCCTGCTAATATCCAGAATCTCATACCACAGACTGGTCAAGTCCAGGTTCAGGGAGTTGCAATTGGTGGCTCATCATTTCCTGGCCAAACTCAAGTAGTTGCTAATGTGCCTCTTGGTCTGCCAGGAAATATTACCTTTGTACCAATCAATAGTGTCGATCTAGATTCTTTGGGACTCTCGGGAAGTTCTCAGACAATGACTGCAGGCATTAATGCCGATGGACATTTGATAAACACGGGACAAGCTATGGATAGTTCAGACAATTCAGAAAGGACTGGTGAGCGGGTTTCTCCTGATGTTAATGAAACGAATGCTGATACAGATTTATTTGTGCCAACATCCTCTTCATCACAGTTACCTGTTACAATAGATAGTACAGGTATATTACAGCAAAACACAAATAGCTTGACTACTGCTAGTGGGCAAGTTCATTCTTCAGATCTTCAGGGAAATTATATCCAGTCGCCTGTTTCTGAAGAGACACAGGCTCAGAATATTCAGGTTTCTACAGCACAGCCTGTTGTACAACATCTACAACTTCAAGATTCTCAGCAGCCAACCAGTCAAGCCCAAATTGTGCAAGGTATTACACCACAGACAATCCATGGTGTGCAAGCCAGTGGTCAAAACATATCACAACAGGCTTTGCAAAACCTTCAGTTGCAGCTGAATCCTGGAACCTTTTTAATTCAGGCACAGACAGTGACCCCTTCTGGACAGATAACCTGGCAAACGTTTCAAGTACAAGGGGTCCAGAACTTGCAGAATTTGCAAATACAGAATACCGCTGCCCAACAAATAACTTTGACGCCTGTTCAGACACTCACGCTTGGTCAAGTCGCAGCAGGTGGAGCCTTGACTTCAACTCCAGTTAGTCTAAGCACTGGTCAGTTGCCAAATCTACAGACAGTTACAGTAAATTCTATAGATTCTACTGGTATACAGCTACATCCAGGAGAGAATGCTGACAGTCCTGCAGGTGAGTCTTAATGGTATGCCACTAAAAGTACAATGATAATAAGCAGGAAAACTTTGCTTTAGTTGTTTAACAGCATCTGCCATTCATTAAAGCTGCTGCATCCATGTTTTTATGTATAAGGAGACATCATAGTCTATCAAATTGTTGGTTTTGAAACTTTGTATACTTGAAGTGAAAAATTTTCTATTGTACTAGTGACATTTGGTGTGTTTTTTTTTTTTTTTTTTCCCTACAACAGGCACATTTGTTTTGGCATCTTGTTGGTATTATCGGGTATTACCATTTTTTTATATTTGGCAGGAGAGTATTTATTGGTCTTGATATGGCATGAGTTTGACTTTTGTTTTGGGTGGAGATGCTAGTTTAGTTAGTGCAAGGCTGTGGTGGAACTTGCTATGTTGACCAAGCTGGCTTTGAACTCAGACCTGCCTTCTTCTGTCTACCCAGTGCTTATTCAAGGTGTGTGTCACTATGTCTGGCTGAATTAAACTGTGTATATTGTATTTGGGTGTGGTATTAGGTTGGAATAATAAAACATGGTGCTGGAAGCTAAAGGAGTACTTAATTGTCTCAGCCACTAGATATGTGATTTTGGCCTAACTATTTTTCTCTGGCAAATTCAGTTTTTTTCATTGTATAAAATGGAGATTTTGGACTAGGTAACTATGTACAGTAGAAACTGTCAAGACCTAACATTGAATGCTTTGCAAGCACAATTAAATAATGAAGCTTAAAAAGGTAGCATCATTGTTACCATATTAATGTTATTTGTCTAGATAACAATGAATATTTTTGTTTTTGCAGTAATTTCTAACTTTTTTAAAAGATTATTACTTTTACAGTCTTCTGCCTGTATGCCAGAAGAGAGTACCAGATCTCATCATAGATGGTTCTGAGCCACCATGTAGTTTCTGGGAATTGAACCCAGGACCTTTAAGAAGAAGAGCCAGTGCTCTTAACCTCTGGGCCATCTCTCCAGCCCCCAAATTTCTGACTTTTATAACTTTAATTCTACTTCACATTTGGATTTCTGTGGAGATTATACTGTTAAAACTTTCCAGTCTGTTTAAATTGGGGCACAGAACTAGAGTGTTTGAAGTAACTTTCATCGCCACTTTTCATGATTCCCTTTTCCCCATTTTTTTCCCTTGGTGTTAAAAATTTGTAATATATTGCTTAGAAAGGTGGGATTGTCCTTGAGTCTCAGATTTGCACTTAGACACTCTTTATTATATCTGGGTTTTCTGAAACTGGTTTAGAAAAGAATTTTTCTTTCCTTTTTTTGAGACAAGGTTTTCTCTCTGTAGCCCTGGATTAGAATTTACTCTAAACCAGTCTGGCCTCAAACTCACAGAGATCTGCCTGCCTCTGCTTGTTGAGTGCTGAGATTAAAGGTGTTTGCTACCACTGACCAACTTAGAATAGAATTTTTCAAAGTTTGATCTGTGCAGCTCTAGAGAGCCTGAGTATTCTTTCAGAAATCCTTTTCCTAATACGTTATTTGCCTTTTTCTTGTGTTCATACTGACTGATGGGTTAAAAATTAAACTTAAAGCTGGAGAGATTACTGAGTGGTTAAGAGCACTTGCTGTTCTATGTGAGGACCAGTTATGATCCCAGCTTGTTGGGTGGCTCACAAACAAAATCCTAAAGGTCTGACATCTTGGCTTCTGCAAGTACCTGCACATTTGTGTGTGCATATACACAGACACAGGTACATATATTAAAGAAAGAAAGAAGGAAAAACTTCTTAAACCATGCTTTTGTTGTATTCATGACTATGTGCTTCTTAAAGAAAAATTAAGTTTTACTTAATTTGATAAGTCAGTAGAAATGTTTATAAAATTTTGACTGTTACTCGTTGCATAACTTTAAAAGGTGATAGCTATTTAAAAGAAATTATTCTATGTGTGTTAATGCAGGGCAATTATGTGTGTACCATTGTTCACACGTGGGGTTTCAGAAGGAGCTGGTTTTCTTTCTCCCTCTGGGAACTGGGATCAAATTTAAGTGCTTAAAAATCATCTCATATACTTTAATAGCTTTATTGAAATCTAATCCACATATAAAATTTGTCTTTTAAGGCATACAACTCAGTAGTTTTCATTGTAGTCACAGACTTGTGCAGTTATAATCTGTTTACTTTTAAAACATTTTCATCACCCCAAGCAACAAATACCAAGTCCCTCTCAGCCATTTCTCATACTTGCCTTATCTTTCTCTTTTAATTTGCTTTTTGTTTTGCATTAGTGGAATTGTGTGATGCATAGCCTATTGTGCCTGTCTTTCATGCAACAGTATTTTCAAGGTTCATGTGTGTTGTAGATGTGTTACTACCTTATTTATGACTAAATAATAATCCATGGATGTATATATTAAAACTTGTCTGTTGGTGGACATTCGGTTTCTGCTTTTAGGTTACTATGAATCATGCTGTTCACAGCATTTGTGTTCAGTGTATATGTGTGTAAGAGAGAGTGCGTGTGCACAACCACTGATTTATGTTTTATACGTGAGGTTTCCAGTTTCTGTGCATCTGCATCAGTACTTACCATTGATCACTTTTTTCATTTTGACGTCTTAATTGGGTGAAAATGATAACTCAGTGTGTTATGTACATCTGTGCAAATTGCATGTCTGGTGCCCACAGAGGCCAGAAAAGGACATTGGCTTCCCTGGACCTGAAGTTACAGGTGGTTGTGAACCATTAGATGGGTGCTGGAATAGAACCTGGCTCCTCTGGAAGAATAGCCATTACTCTTAACCGCTGAGCTTTTTTTTTTTCATCCTCAACCATATATGAAGTGACACCTTTTTGCAAAAGTAGAAGTGAGCTTGTCACATCTGATTGGCAAATATTTCTTGTCAGTGGTAAAGGTAAGGATTTCCAGAAGAAATGTGTTTTGTTTTGTTTTGTTTCCCCTATAACTCAGATTTATTGTGTGGTTTGCTTTTTTTTTTTTTTTTTTTTCTGGTGCTATGGGTAGTAATGATAAAGTGTTAAAAATGAAAGATGTTTGACACTTGGAAGTCCAGGAAAGCTGAACCAGTGGTTTTTAAATGAGCAGTTTACAGCGTTAAAAACCATTTAAACTGCAAGATAGGCCAACAGAGTATCTATCTTTAATGATAGATTCTACATTAAAACTGACCTTTAAGAAACTGCCACTTGCCAAGTATCAAAGGATACAGTTAACTTAAAGGCTGCTATGATTCCTTTTTTTTTTCCAGTTACATATCTTTGTGAGATTATTTTTCATATGCCTCAGCCCAAACTACATATCACAAGCAATTGAATGGAGAAACAGATCTAAGATTCTGTCTTCTTTTTCCCTAGGCATTCAATGATTTGCAAAAATGTAAAACATGTTTTTTTTTCCCTTTTCCTGTTGTGTAGTCCTGGCTATCTATGTAGGACAAGCTGGTCTTTAATTTGCAGCACTGATCCTTCTGCCTCTGCCTCCAAAGTGGTGGTATTACAGACATGCACTACCATGCGTGGCTTGTCTTGTCTTTTTTATAAGACTTTTGTTTGGCAAGTAGCTTTTCATAAAGTATTGATTTGTGTTACCGTGATGAGCTTGTTTAGCTGTTTATTTGCTTGAGGCTGGGGATTAAGCCTGGGTTCTGACATAGGCAGGTGATCTTAAGATTTATTTTTCAGGGTGGCTTTTTTGTTTGTTTCTTTAATTTTTAAAATTTCGGTTTTTGGGGAAAAAATATCTGGTTTCTCTGTGTAGCCTTGGCTATCCTGGGCTCACTTTGTAAACCAGGCTGGCCTTGATCTGACAGAGATCCTACTGCCTCTGCCTCTCTTAGTGCTGGGACAGGGTTTTTCTTTTCTTTTTTTTTTTTTAAAGCGTTTTTAAAATAATTTTTTTATTTTATGTACATTGGTGTTTTGCCAGAATGTATGTCTGTGAGGATATCAGAAGCCCTGGAAACCGGAATTACGGACAGTTGTGAGCTACCATGTGGTCCTCACATGGTGAATTGAATCTGGGTCTTAACCTCTGAGCCATTTCTCCAGTCCTATTTTTCAGTTTTATATAGTTATCTCTCTCTCTCTTACTCTCTTTCTCTCTCTCACACACACAGAAAAAGAGAAATCATGGATATTCTAATGAACAAAATGTTTTTGGGGAACTGTAGTCAAATTTAAGAGGTTAAAATGAAAGTCCTGGGCTGGGGTGTGGCTCAGTGCTTAGCACAGTACAGGCTTTGGATTTAATCTTTTTATGTGTAAAATATTTGAAAATTCTGAAGTGTTCTAAAAACGTTTGGAAATGTTGTTTTAGAAACCTAGTTTTGAAGATTCTATAAAGTTAGTGTTGGACACTGCTAAAAATGTTAGAAAAACATTACTGAAAATGTTATGGTTTTGTTTTGAGACAAATCTCATTCAAAGGTAGACAGGCTCCGAACTTCCATCAGTCTTCCTCAGCCTCTGGCGTGTTGGGGTTACAGACATGAGCCACTATGTGGGACACATATCTTGGATTTGTGTTGTTTATGAAACTAGCCTGGGATACATTAAGTGCTCCAAGAAGTTACCGTCAGAGGTTATCAGTTAGAAACACTGGTTTAAATACAAGATAGGGTTGTAAGAGAGTGATTTGCTTTCTGAGGGTACTCTACAAGTAAGTAATAAAAGATAAGACGCTTCATTTGGGGATATTTAAGTCTTTGTAGGTTGCCTGTGTTGTAGTTGTGGATGCAGAGGTTGGTGTTGGGCTTCTTTCTTAGTAACGCCCCTCACTCTTTTTCTATTGAGACCTCTGTGTGGACCTGGTGACCACTGCTTGGTTAGAATATGTGTTCCGGAGGCTCCAGGAATCATCTTGTCACCACCCTCTTTCCTAGAGTTACAACCACATGGGACCCTGTCTGGCCATCTCTCCCCCTTTTACTTTGATTCTTTTTTTGCATGGCTGCTAGGGTCTCTGAACTAAGCCTCCTCCAAACAGGGTTTCTCTGTGTAGCCTCAGCTGTCCTGGATTC